CCCTCCTCCTCCTCTCATTTGTACCCCATCCTCCTCCCATTCTCCTCCCCTCCTCCTCCTTCTGCGTTCACTCCCATCCTCCTCCACCGTACCCTCCCTTCCTCCCATAGTTTCCCCGCTAAATTTAACTGGAAAACTGACGCCACGTGACCTCAACGCAAATTCAGCTTCTCCCCAAGATTTAGAGGGGGAAATGACGTCAAATGACTCCATGTCACGTCACCCATGAACAAATTCAGTTTCTCCGCTTCACATAGCGGGAAAATTGACGTCACGTGACCTCAACCGCGATTCAATTTCCCGCTAAATTTAGCGGGGCGGTTACGTCGACGGCGACGTCTCGAAACGCGGAAACGGGCGCCGAAGAGTTGCGTTCTAAAAGACAGCTGACAGATTTCCTGATTCCGTGCTTGAGATCGCATTTGTCAGGTGCGTAAAAATAATGCAATATTTTCCTTCAACAAAGCGCCAGAAGTAACGACTGAAAAGCCAGGAAGTCGTTGCGAAACACGTTGTACTTCGTCTGCGAGTGTCTCAAGGTCTTTCCAAAGTAAAAAAAAAAAGAAAAAGAAAAGCTAGTCGTTTCTGCTGCCCGTTCATGAGCAACGGGAGTATGGCTCCGACGGCCGTAGTCTAGATTTCCTGCATGATGCGATGGCGAGGGGTATTAGATATTGGAAACAAGCGGATTGCACGAAGCTTTATTTTATTTTATTTTTATATTAGGTATGTTATTTTAACATGAAGGTTTTTACCCGAGACAAGGATGAAACGATAGAAAAACTTCACCGTAGCTTGTTACAGCTGAAGAAAAGCAGGACAATCTCATTACAGAAAGCCATCCACTCTTTCCACCCTAGCAGAGCGAACACTGGAAGGCAAGCAGGGGAGTGGAGGAAGCCAGCAATCAATGTCGAGCAGATAGCTTTCTGGGAGGGGCCTTTTTTAACTGCCAGAGTGGTGATCAATAGCGGGCGTGAGAAGTCTTCAGCTGCGAAGTCTGGGAATAAAATCAGAAAACAGAATGATTCTGAAGAGTCTACTCTTAATTTTTATGTTCATGTCTGTATCGGTGTGTGGGCGCGGATCTTGCTCCTGCGAGAGATACGACTTTAGCAGGAAGTGGTCAAATGGCTGAATTGTCGAGAAGGCAACTGGGAAAACGCTACACTCTAAAAAAATGCCTGCGGGTCTGCTTACCCGCAAAACTCTCAAGGAGTTAATCTCTGCGATCTACATAATCAGCTCAGCGAATGATGAGGCGGAACATCCGTTTATACCTAAAAATGAAGCCTGATCTTTGGCATTACGCAACGCAAAGCGTCATGCTTGCATTGCGTAATGCAAGCACGTAATGCAGTCAACACCCCAAGAACCCAACAACAGTCCAACAACAAGTTCTTTTACATGCTTGCATTGCGTAATGCCACTGCAAAGACTTCATTTTTAGGTCCTAAACGGATGTTCCGCCTCATCATTCGCTGGGCTGATTTCGTAGACCGCAAAGATTGGCTCTGAGCGTTCTGCGGGTAAGTAGACGCGCAGGCATTTCTTAGAGTGTATTTAGCTACTTCATCGTAATGCCATGTCTGACGAGTATTTTGATGAGAACACGAAGGCGATACACAGGCAAACTCGGGTGACGAGTTTGAGACGTGGCCACCGTCACCGTAAGGGAATGAGGGCTAAGTCGCAAGTCAGAAAGCTAGTATTTATTTCACGTTGTCCCACATTTTGACAGCACAATAATTTAAATTGAAGAAAAAACAAGTGAGAAAGTGTCGTGACAGCTGTTGCGGGGTCCTTTTCTTTGATCAGTTATACACTTATGCTATGAAGGAATATTTCACGGAGAAACTAAACGTTAAGACAAATGCAAGCAATCAAAAGTCTTGGGATTTTCTTTGTACGATTTGCAGTGAACCACTGTAGAGAATAGTGTAGCAGCTGGCAGCATTACTTGTCAGTCATAACTAAAGCGTTTCTTTTTTTTGTTTGTTAATTTCATCAATTTTGAAGGCGCGTAACTGAAGATCACATTTTATGGTTCATAAGATTTATACATAGGACGTTAGTAAGAAACACTAGTTGGGTACTTCACTAATCCTAACTGGGTGTCTCAATGGGAAGAAACTTAAAAGAAACTAACAAGATAAAATGCTGTCCTGTCAGTTAGCACTTGTCCTGTGTGCTTCTTCGTCTTTTTGTCCCGTCTTTTTTGCGCTATTTTTAATATGAATGTCCATTATTAACTTGCCCATCTGACCAAGCCTTTTCAATAAAATGCTGATATGGGATTTCTAATCATTATCATCATCTTAGGGTCTCTAAAACAGAAATTGTCGAGAATTGCAGATGATGAACTGTACTAATGGAACGAAATAAAGGTTACAAAGCCGCCGAAAGAAAAAAAAAATATTTGGCAGCCCGGACCCGAAGTTACAATCCCGGCGCAGTCAAAGACTGTATTTCGGCGGCATGGTAATATTTATAGTATTCAATTAGTGCTGCTAATTCAACAGCATATTTCGGCTCTGGCTTAACTATTAAATAAAAATTAATTAAATAATGTTTGTGTGTTCCCATGACGACAAAAACCAAGTATATTGACTGTTTCTCAGTTCCTATTGCAGACTTTTTTTTTAAAGTTTTGACTTACCCCGCAAGGTTGGTAGCGCCATGGGAGACAAGAGACACAGGGGTATCGATTCCATCTAGTGGTTTCCCGATCCTAACCTGAGTAACGTCTGGGGAAATGCGGAATTAACCTTGAAGAGCCGCCGTAGCCCGTGTGGTACTGGCTCTCGGCCAGCAACCCTGTACCGAAGATGTCAGAGCCTTCAAACGCTTTGTCATAGCCAAGCGCATTAACTACGATATATTGCGCGACGTTAAAGGTTACACATTACGTGCGGGAAGCAGCCCTGCATTATGTTTGTTGGTATTTTCTTCCTAGTAGTTCCTGAAACTTTCAAGGACGCAGAAGCCGTTTCTGGTTTGCTAAAACGGCTGGAATTTCCAAGCCTAAGATAAATGTTGCAATCAGGTCAGAAAAAAGAAACAAAAAAAAAAAGAAAAGAAACAGTAGCGGTGGCGTTCTACGTTGTAAAACAGCCTATTCGTATTTCAGTGACACACGGAGATTTCCTAAAGATAGGATTTCGAGCTATTTGCTTTTTGTAAAATGGCTATTTTGGCAGCGCCGTTTTTAGCTTTGATTTATTCATGCAACTACTTTAGGTTTGTACCTAATGTGATTACAATATTTGAAATACCACCATGCATCCAGCCAACGCGCTGGAATTTTTCAGTACAACTACTACAAACCAACCACACAATCTCTACTATGTCGCTCAATTCACTCGAGAAGTACCGAGTTCAATATGTCTCGAAATAAATTATTTTCGTATAGTAGTTTTTACTTTCCTAACAATTTTTATATCATAATTAAAAGAAATTACATACTCGCGTCTTAAAGGTACGTAAGGCGAAACAATCCTCGATCTGAAAGAAAATAGATTAGTGTTAAATATCTTAAAAAAACGTCATAAGATCAGAGCTACGTTTCCAGCGGAAATGAATGGAGGAAAAGAGGTCATTATCTATGGCGCATATACAGCGCTCGAGGGATAGGAACGGGAGCTCGCAGCCGCGGGACACTGGCGGGCCGCGTGTTTGAGACCCAGGTGGCATAATACATTCTTGACAGAAGAAAAATGCCGGCTTTCATGAAGTTTGCTTGTAGGCAATGTAGCCAGATGGGAGAATTCACTACCAAATTTCAGCAATCTTGTGCAAAGATTATGTCTTTGGTTACCTGGTAAGAGCATCACTACAAATAAAAAAAAAAATTTTTTTGCCCCTATCAGTTGAAAGCACAGCGGTTCTAGATTAAAGTAGCCACTGCTACGTGGCGCACTCTTCCGTTTGCTTGAAGTAGAGCCGTAAAGTCATAAAGCCACACATTGAAGAGCCTGAAAAATAGTTTGTAAATAAACCAGGGAGTACATATTAGTTAGCACGCCAGCTTGCGGATGACCTTCTAATTGTACCGAAGCTACGATATTTTTGTGCTCGTTTTAAGATCAGTTTTTTACATCTTTACCAAAACGTACACGCTTCAACTGCATGAAATATTGCTGCTTTCCTCTGGCAATTAAATGTGTTAGAAGGTATTTGGTGTAGCGCTTGAACTATGCGCAAAACCTATTAAATATTTTTTAAGTGACATTACAATGAGCGCGTTGACATTGGAGCCATAAGTTGGTCCGTTTATTTTCACTGTATAGAGTCGTGTCGTTGAGCCCGTTGTGCACTATGCACAACGTGTACCTGAGACTGAATGGGTTCAGCCGTGTTTTATCTAAAATATGCGTTTCAACACTAACGATTGACCTCTTTTAGGCGTCTTTTCAAGTCAAATTTAATGTCTCGTGAAATCTTGTGAAGTTTCAAGGAGAGTTGGGTATCGCGGCAACTTTTTGATTTGGCAACGCTGTTTCCAGCCTCGGAAGAAAGCTGCGTGCTTTGATATACGTCCTTTTTTTGTATCGGAAATATCGTTGCTTCTTACATCTTACATGCTACCCGTCTTCCAGTGTGTGTTCGTAGATCCTTAGAAATACCATGGAAACTGAAAACTTGAGAAAAAAAAATGCCTAAAAATGTCTTGAGAGAGAGAAAAAAAAACAAAGCAAAAAAAAAAAAAAGAAGTTTGTCAGAACAAGAGCAAGCAGCTGGAGAAAAATAACTGCAGGAGCCGGTGAGCTCAGTCAGGCATAGCTTACATGAAGCACATAGTTTGCCACTACTCAATTAACAAACTTCAGAAGTAAATTACAAACATTTTTTGAGCAAGTACACTCTTTATTTTATATGATTTTATTTATTCAGAGTTTCCTTGTTCTATTATACGCTTCGTCCATGTATTTTTGTCCAGTAATTCACTTACTCTAAACATGAAAGTACAAATAAATATTGGCAGTGACATGAACGTTGGTTTTTTTTTTTCTGAAACAGCGAAAATACAGGTCTCGCTCATCCATCTTGATTGTGTGGTTTAGGAAATACCTGTAAAATAATTGATAAGCACGAATTAATGCACGAATTAAGGCACGGCGATAAGTGACTAATTTAAGCGAACAGAAAAAATCTGGGACTACGTTATCAACAATCCTAATGCTTTCGGACATGAGACTAGCAAGGTCGGTGGAAACCAAGCATGGTAGCTGTAAATATCCATGTAGTCATACATCTTCCCCCCCCCCCCCCCCCAAAAAAAAAAGAAGAGAAGTAAACTAAGCACTGAAACCTACACATCAGTATTCCAGTCACTCAAAATGAAACTCCACAAAGGCTAAATAAGTTCCACACAAAGACAGTATTAATATCAAAAAGTTTTAAAAAAGGACCCTTACAGCTTTAAAAGCGAGTCCCATATTTTGAGCATTATGCTACGCTAAAAATTATTTCAAATTACACTTTTTCTTTTTTAGAAACATGCTCGACAACAAGGACTTCTTTGATACTCACAGGTCAGGATCGGGTAGCACGGAGCTCGAACACACCGAACATTTGCGGCTACGCACCGGGTTCCAAGGGGACATGTGTGTTCCTGGAAATTTAGGCACAAACAGATATATACACCTCCCATGTATTTTGCATTTTGTATATTTTTTTAAAATTTGTTTATGGGAACCCGGGGGCTAAGTGAAACGCCCGCAGCCAATGGGGTCGCAGTGTCAGCCAGTAAGATCGCCGAAGAGCGAATAACAAAGCAATAATGATCGAATAGTTCCGAAACCTACGAAGCGTTTCCGCACGTTTCCGCAGAGCCCTTGGCGGAGAGATAATCGTTATTTATATACCTAATCAGGAAACCGCTGTCGCACTTAGTTTGACGTTTCACAATGCTCACTGCCACAGCGCAGCTTTTTATTTTTTATTGTTTAGGTCTAACACACATGTGCAGCCTCGTCATTCGCCGAGCTTTCTGCGCAGATTGCAGCGATTGGCCCCACCAAGTGCTTTGCGGAAAAGCGGACGCTCCAGATTTCTTAGAGCCTCTGTATCTGCTGCAAGGGAGCCCTACCTTGCACGTTCTGACCCTGGCTCCTGTGGATAGACCTTCGGGAAAGCCGCCAGACGATCCTACGGGGTAGCTTTCGGCGTAGGCTCGTCTTGGAAACGCTCGCGCAAAGCCTGATGGCGAACTTCCTCTGGGAAACTGGCCTCCCGCTCTTCCTCGGAACCGCCCTGGAAATTCTGAAAAACCGCCGTCACCGTAGAACTGACCGTTGGCGAGAATTGCTGAAAAGACAAGAAACACGGTGGGCGACTCAGTTAATTGGTTGAATCGTCCGAGGAAGGGTTTCTTTCTTTTCTTGAGAAGAAACATTACCGTACAGCCGGTGCACGTGAACACTGCTTTCGTCGGTAAAATTTAGCGCTCTACGCGGTAATGTTACACGAGTGCGGAGGTCGGAAAGCGTGAATAGATTGCTGTCAAATCAGGGGGAAACTAAATAATTTTTTTAATCAAACGAATCAAATTTATTTGGTGAACAGCCCATATTTCTATTTGAATTAGATTTATTTGATTTTAATCGATAGCCTCAAAGTAATATTTATGTTGTCGCTAAGTGCAGTTTCAAATAGTGGCCAGATACTCGCTTTAGTGATCGCAATTCCGGAAAGAGTGTGGGGAGAGTAAATTACTGTAAATTATATGTTAGGACGTGAAATACGTTTCAATTAAGAAGTCTTTATTCCCGATGTAAGCCAACGTTTTGCTAGGACAAAGGCGGTTTTATTTCTCAAGTAAAATATTTTTTTGCTGTAAAAAAATTAGTAAATCAAAATATGAGTCACTTTTGAGTTAAGACTATAGCAGGGATGCCTAGTGAAAACAGCTTCCACTTTTGCGGCGTTCATGCCCCGGGCGAAAACACGCCGCGTACGCGTCCACAGCCGCATACGCGACGTCTAAAACTCATTAATTCATTTCTAAGGTACAATTACTTAAGGGTTTGCTGAAAACATTCCTAACTTATTGTATATATATATATATACAGGGTGTTCTTTTTTTAATTCTTTCAGATTTCTTTAAAAAAGGCCATGAAAGCTAAACTTATTCGGTTTGTGCTTTTTTGTGTTATACGGCCAGGGGGACATAATATATGGAAATAGTCGCAACTATCAGTAGCCTAATTAAGTAAAATTTGTTAATTAACTTTTAAATTAGTCCAAAGACATATAGTTCCAATTAGAAACTTGCTGAGTATCATCGAAAACCACTAAATCCACTCTTTTTAAAAGGATATAACGCCGGGGCAGCATTTTACGGCGTTCTGTAAAAACGCTCCATTTGGACGCGTTTCTAGATTTCGGTTTCTTATCGGAGCGCATCTATGCGCCCGCTGTCCTGCTGTCCAGTGCCCTAGACGCGCAACACACGTGCGCCCTGCTTCGCTCCATTCTACGAGGGAGGCGAGGAGGTGATACGGTCCGATAAGAAACCGAAATCTAGAAACACGTTCAAATGGAGCGTTTTTACAGAACGTCGTAAAATGCTGCCCCGGCGTTATAAACTTCTAAAAAGGGTTGATTTAGTGGCTTTCGATGATGCTCAGCAAGTTTCTAATTGGAACTATATGTCTGTTCGCCCTAATTAAAAAGTTAATTAACAAATTTTCCTTAATTATCCGACTGATAGTTCCGACTATCTCCGTATACTATGTCCCTTTGGCCGTATAACTCCCCTGTACAAACCGCATAAGTGTAGCTTTCACGGCTTTTTTAAACAAATCTGAAAGAATAAAAATAAAAACCCTGTATATATATTATATCTAAAGAGGAAACAGGTAGCTTTCAGCTAACAGTGCCAGAGTTAATAGAAAGAGATGTAGAAACACACTAGCAGGAATAAAAAACAGTTAAATTGATCCAGTAAAACAAATGAGAAATTAAAGCATTTCGACAGAAGACACGCTCACCAATGACCCTTTCTTGCTTCCGCAAAAGAGTACTGCGCAGAAGAGAGCTATTGAGCATCTTCAGAATGCATTTCATAGCGTTGTAGAAAGAGATGGCGGGTCGTAGAAGAATGCGTCTAAGGTTGTTCTGTCATCGGCTAGCATATATGCTAGCCGATGACAGAACAACCTTAGACGCATTTCGCGCTTCGTTTGACTTCCAATATGGCAGACCATGGGGGGCCGGGGAATCAAGTGTAAGGAACAAAAAAACAAACCAACGCTCTGATTTCGACAGCATACACTCCAAAAAAAGACCGTGCGTCTACTTTCCAGCACAACACTCGCAGAGCCAATCACCGCAACTTTCGGAGGCAGCTCAACGAATGACGATGCCGAAAGTGCGTTTTTTTTTTTATCTAAACATATGTTTCGGCATCGTCATTCCCTGAGCTGCAGCCCCCGTAAGTGGCGGTGATTGGCTCTCCGGGTATTGTGCAGGAAATTAGGCGCACGGGCTTTTCTTTTTAGAGTGGATCGCTTTTTGCTCGTCGTCGCACCAATGAAAATATATTTGAACTAATGATATTTTTATTTGAGTGTCAAATAAGCGGTATGATTCTTATGGGAAAGCTCTGATTTAATTTACCATATTAAAAGCGGTGTGATCAGAACTACGTTTCGAACCATCTTGATTTTTTTTTATCCTCCCTCATTCGAACTAATATTCTGTTCAACGTACATACGGCGGTTACACAAATAATCTGACGGAAGAAGAAAGAAATATAGCACCAATATGAAAAACGCTGGTTTTCTCAATTGGCTTCCGCCCAAGTACGCACGGTACGAATCTTTTGCTGAATAATAATTATTTGCTAGATTATCCGTCTATTTTCATAGCGCCTCCATTGCATATAATACACCTATGTAATGGTGCGCATTATATAGGCAGTGTATATTGTTTACTGTGTCTTTAAATTATTATTTTTATTGTAAAAGGGTAGGAAGTTTGCCATCGCACCGATTTCTTAGAATGTATCTCTCACGCGTTTGTTTATTGTAATTGTTTACAAGTCTGCTTTTTTTCTTGTTCTTGGAGTTTGTCACAGGAAGTTCTAAAAGGTAAGAATGATATTTACACCTAAGAGCTGAAAAAAAGGTTCAATAAAGTTACAACGAGAAGCTGAAGAAGGTGAAGAATGACGAGCCGGGCCGGTTCTTAACTTCTTACATGTCATTTGTCTCAAATTTATTAATTTTCTTACGTATTTTACTATGTAAACAAAACAATGAAACTTGCCCACGGGATCTTTTACGACAAAGGAAAGGGGGTATATGTTTTTACTGACAAAAATAAAAGCCTTCAAAACCAAATTCTGGTGTCAACGCAGGACTTTCCTGTTCCCGCGCTTGCAGCCTTCTTGGAAATCCCATGTAACAAATGTGTGTGACTACGGATTTGGGTATATACGCTTGCTCCGTTTCATGCGTCGGTTGCACCAGATGGAAAAAGGACGGGTAGGGTCATCTGTTTACCTTGTGAACTGTAACGTGCCCCTATGATGACGGAAGACAAGATGGCCCAGCTTTCCGTCCTATTGCAGGAGACTGAGGTAAGCCCAGGTTCGTGCCAAAGTATCCCCCCTCCCCTTTCTTAAAAAAAAGTGTAGCCATTTAAAGTTGCGAGTAGAACAATAGAAGAAGTTAGTTTTGTTGAATTTCTACTTTTCAACGTTTCTCGCGCCATGATCTGTGCATTTCAAAAAGGAAATAGTGCGCGCAAAGAACGAAGTCAGAAAATAGGGACTAAGCACAACAAGTGCTCACTCTCAAGTTTCAACTGAACATTTAAGAAACAAAAGCACACGAGCAACAACAATCAACTCGGCCATGATAATTTGCTACGTGTCAAAACAACAACATCAACATCTCTTTACGATGCAGAGTGACCGAAGTCTGGCTGATACAACTCGATCAACCTTCTTTTTCGACAACGTGAACCTCTTGTAGCTTTAAGCCTCGCCCGCTCCAATAATCGTGATTTGTTTCAAGTTAAGTTGAGACCTGTACACAGCGGAGGCGTAAGCGACCTCAAGCCGTTGTCCGTATTTTTACGTATGCATAGCACTGTTGGCGGTAACGCGTTCAGTTAACGGTGAAGCGTTACTTTCTTTCGCTGACGCGGAACGTACTCGCTACAATTTCAAAACTGTAACGGGTAACGTACTTCAGTTACTTTTTCCGAATAACGTGTAATGTAATTGCGTTACTTGTTACAAATTACTCCCAAAACTTGAAAAAAAAAAACACTTAATTGTTTTTGTGTGTTTAGGCGCCAAACATTTGTGAATTTTGAGGGGTTTTTTTTCGTTTTGTTTGTGGGTATTTAGGCGAAATTGAAAAGATAAGGTATTTATATTCAGTTTCTACATGAGCATAATGTTTCTTTAAATATGGCACTTACGCATACCTTTAACGTCAAAACAACAAAAAGTGTTACACATTTCTGAAAAAAAAAATGGAGTCGATGAACGAAGAAGAGGACAAACACAAAACGTTTCAAACGCCGCTACTAAACTTCATTGATACAACCGTTTATGTATCATCTATCGCACATACGACTCCCGGAATTCGCACACGTCTTCGTTATTTTCCACCACGGTACAACCGTCCGTCGTTTGCGCTTTTTTCGAAAATGTGTAACATCAACGTCCCTGTCCGTCGTCTCCGGTTATTTTTTTTTTTTCCAAATATTTGTAACATTAATTAGCTCCCCTGTTTCCTTACTCTTTCTTCAAAAGTGTAATTCGTCATTAAAAAAATAACGCAGAAGTAAGCTGCGTTACTTTTTATCGGTAATGGTAACGGTAACGCGTTCCTTTTATTATGAGGTAACGTGGGGCGGTAACGCGTTCCTTTTATCTTGAAGTAACGTATAGGTCGGTAACGCCTTCCTTTTATTTGCAAGCAACGAGTAACGTATTTCGTTATTTTTTTTTTCGGCAACGCCTACAACAATGATATATAGAAAGAAGCTGGCAAGTATCCGATACCACTTTGGTGCGAAAGGTATCGTCTGGCACAAACCGTTTTGTATCATGCTTGCTTTTGTTTATTACTCAATTCAATTTTGCGCGAACTGCTTATTGTCTTTATTCACGGAGATATTCGCAAAACACGTCTAAAGGCAATTTGTTTATAACGTGAAAAACCAAACAACACTTTTAAACAGTACACACCGAAACATAGAAAGAAAAAAAAGCGCGTGACTCTGACATTTTGAGATTATGGTCAGGCTTCAAATCACGCCTCAGCCTGTCAATAGCGGCATTTAGAAAGCGCCCTGCGGAAACACCATACGTTCATACAGGCTGCCTGTACACTATATACAAACTTTACCTTAGTCTACAATGACGAAGACCCGGATAAGCACATTTGAGGCGGGGGCTGCGCTGTTCACAAACAAAACAGCGATAAGCACTAAACGAATAGGTAAAAGTCGATGTATGCTCAAAGCAAGCTTGTGGCACCTATACGTATTTAATCTTCGGTGTTATTTCCCGAACGAGGCATTTACATAACTCACCTAATTTGAAAGCTTTTGGCAAATTCATTTTGAATAATATTGTGAAAAGTCGTCGAAAACACAAGCTTAATTGACCGCAAACATTTAAAAAGTTTTTTTTCTCTTTTTTTTTGCATGAGGGCCTAGACCAAAATAAGCAAACATTTTTCTAAAGTATACATTCGCTATCGCACCGGTGATTTCGATAGCGTTGACGCTCGAACATATCTCGTCAAATGATATGAGGAATGTCGAGTAACACGAGTATACGAGCACAAGATGCTTTACTCACCAAAGAGCAGCAACACGAGCAAGAAGGCCAAGCTTCCGGGGTTCATGGTGACTGTCAGCATTGGAGCGAGTCGGCGGTCTCCCAACGGTGCGTCCAGCTCTTATGACGACGACGACGCAAGTGGTGGGGGTGCCGGTATAGACCCGCGTTGCCTTCGGGATACGCAAGCCTGCAGGAAGGTGCCTCCTCTATCTCTCATCGAAGTAATCGCCCTTGAACCCGGAAAACTTCAAGCCGAGAGGAATACGCAGCAATAACCGAGCCACATCTCTAAGTGCCATTTCTGTATGTGGCCGTATGGGCTCTTATGCTATTTAGGGTAGGCTTGGAGGAACTGGCTGACTGCGCATCTGATATAGGGAATGAAGGAAGGTACACGTTGCCGTGATTTTATCGAGATCAATTATTTTTCTTGGCTCGTGTGACAAACCCAAGGTTGGATAAGACTTGAGCAATCTTTTGCATGAGGGGATTGTAAGAATGTCTCTCACGCGACCCCAAGGGAGCGACTTTGCACCACCAGCCAACGTGTGCGCATAAATTTAGCTGTGCGTCCGAGACAACCCACCTGGCTCTCTCTCGTTACCCCAATAAATCTTTACTGGTGTTTTTAAACGAATATTATAGCCTATTGTATGGATACAATGGTGACGACTGTGTTATTGACTCATTAAGGCGCTCAGTAGTTCAGATAGCGTGGATGCGAGCGAGAGGATTACAAGGCTTGGGATTGATAGCGTTATCAGGTAGATCGACTAATCTTATTTTGAAATGGTATTTATAAACAACAATGTTTTCTTTACAGATTTGAGCATTATAAGTAAATGAGGAAGCTGCGTAGTGAGTTGCAATTGTCCCATCTGCGCCTCGTGCGCTCGTAGCCAGTGTGCCGGAGATTTGTTTTGTAAGTGCTCCTTATGGTTTTTGCGCTTTTGCGATTTTTGATATATTGTGAGTTGGTTGAATGTGATTTTTCACTCTGGCGGAGTTTTTTTTTTTTTTTGTCGAACATCGTCTTGGGAGTGTTAATAGCCGAAAATTATTCAAGGCCATTCGAATGATTAAGAGTTTTCCTCCTTTTTCACAGGAAGTAGAAAACAACGATTTCATTACGAATTTTTTTAATACGTATGTGCCGTGCCAGTTAGTTGTATTGTAGCTTGTTTACTTTATCAGAATTTTATAAAAAATAGTTTTATCTACGCATTTAAATCTCAAAAGGCGTTGGAACCTTCATTATATTACCAGCGCCTTTATAATTTTCTACCTCCTGAAATTTCAGTCCTATGGCGCTCGCAGCACAGCCGCCAGTAAACAATTAGGTAGAGTTTATTAGTACTTGTGAAATCAGGATTGATGTGTTCTTGCTGGCCCCTTATTGTTCGTTTAGGGTTCCCTTTGTTCTTTGCTTTTTTTGTGTGTGTGTGTTTTTATTTTTACGCTGTTTGTTTTTGCTGGGTTTTGATTTCCAATGAATATTAGTTTCGAGTCAGCGCTTGTTCGGTGTACTCCCTTTGCTTGTCTTCGTTTGTTTTTGCAATGTTTTGTTATCGTGTGTCACGTACCGTCAGAGCGTCATGTCACGTCGTGGTTTCACCAGATGTCAGAGCGTCATGTGACGCCGTAGTGACCCTTGACAGTATTTCGTTTATAGGATAAGCTTTCTCGCTACATTTAGCGGAGTGATGTTCCCCCTAAATACAGCATATCAATTTTCTCGCTATGTTTAGGGGAATAATATTTCCGCTAGATCTCGGGGAGAAACGTTTCCCCCAAGTTTAGCGCAGAAATTTCCCAGCCACGACTTACACGAAACACCCCGGGTTCGGCTGCGAAACTTGGCCACTAGCAGCTATCGTCGTAAAAGGAACGCACTATAGGATCCCCTGATGAAACGCATCTGAAGTAAGATGTCCGCTAGGAATACATCTAGCCGCACGAGTCACCATTCAATAGCCAGCAGCTTGTCGGCCAATCAAATCCTAGGTAAGGAATCACAAAGGCATGATTTCATGTGTCTTTGTCTTTCACTTCTACCTTGTGTCATGACGAAGTCCGCTAAATTGTATAAGGTGGCATCACCGCTTCTGCTATTTCTTTTTTTAACAGAGCAGCACCAGCGCTCTCTTGGCTGCTTCGTCACTATTGTCGACGTCAAGCAAGAAGGAAAGATACCTCCACCCAAGCGCCTGCAGAGCGGAAACTGACATTGACACTTTTCTGTCTCGAAAAAGCATACACTGATGCACTTTTAACTTGATACCGAAATTCATTAGTCCTAAGCCACCTATGTTGGCTGACAAAGATATTAGTTCGTCGTGCTCTTTGGAAACAAGAATTCCAAATGAACGTCGCATAAATGCGTTGCATTTTTTTTTTTTTTTCACGTCTACGTTGTGGTGGCACAAATTGTGCTGAATACTATGCACACGAAAAGAAGACTGCGTTGCACACATCACTTCGGTTTAAAAAAGAAATGTTTCTGTCGTGACATTCTGCAGCTTTGGCTCTAATGGCGTTTAACCTCACGCCGCGTCCTCCACTGAACAGCCTTGCTAAGTCAGAGCTGACCCCTAAGTAGTTAGACAACGACGCAATCTACTGTATGTCCATAAACAACTCTGACTTGGACGGCCAGGGTCCCAGCCGAGACCATAAGGATTTTCTAGCGTTCATTCCAGCCCCCGACATATTGCAGAAATTTTTTATAAGCATGAGTGCGAGTCATAGCTCAGGTCTTGATGAACACACTATGCTTACATCATCAGCGTAGGCTAAGAACTTGACAAGCGACGCAGCTATAGCTAGCCCCTCGTATATTGGCGTCTTTTAATATTGCCCCGCGAAGCGGCTCCAAGCAAAGTGCGTATAAAATGGGTGACATGGGACAGCCTTCCCTTGCCGAAGCGCACGCTAGAATGGCCTTGGATTTGCAGCCATTAATTAAAAGATGAGTGGTGATATTTATATAGCATAACCTCCCAAATCTGCCTACTTTTCCTCCCACTTCGCAATGTTTTTTAGTAATGAAAATTAAAAAAAAAAGTGCGATACCTTGTCGAGTGGTTTCTTCAAATATATCTGCAATACGGCTATCTTCATTTGCATTGCGCTCGAGGTCTCGGCCACCATCTGAATAATATGAAGATTGGTGCCAATTGTGAGTCCTTTCAACCGGCCAATTGTGCGTCCTTTAAACATTGAAAGCTCTCTCTTGGGAACCATTGAGGTAATACGACTTAACTGAATACGTTTTATGTCCCCCCACGACTATTACCAACGCATTATGGAAACGTGTCACGAATATTTTAGCGAGAATTGTATATTCTTTCGTCAGTAAGGTAACTGGCCAATAATCGTCAGCCGACCGCGTTCTCTCATCAGCAGTCTTTTTGGGTATTTACACTGTCACCGCCTACCTAATGGAAGGAGCAAGGAGCTGTCTCTCATGGTATAATCCGCTGGTCAATTTTCAGCCTCTTAGAGCACTCTGAAAAGCCGACGCCCATTCGGTTGGTGGAAGTCAAGCGCCCTGAGTGTATGCAAACTGGTTCTTTCAGAGCACTCTCAGACTTTCGGAAAGCTCCGTCCTCTGACTCGTAGCGCTGTGAGGCGCTCTGACTTCGAAGTGGGGGCGGTAGGAGCGCGACTCCAGCCACTTCCGCCGTCGAGCTGAAAGAGAAAGGAGCCAATTCGGCCGAGAGGTTTGGCGTCGGACGCCGCCGCGTTTGGATATCGCGCAGATCCCGCTGTGCTCCGCTGAGTGCAGGAGGTGCTCGACGCATCACGGGGCACCACGCAGCGAAAGCCAGCATCCGCATTGAAGGCTGCGATATTTCGTGTGAACATGGGGTCATGCGGTGGGGGCGCTACAGCGCCCCCACCGCATGACCCCATGACCGAATACCATTCATCCATCCATGGATGGATGAATGGTATTTGCTAAACCTTTCATATCAGGTGGTAGCTTGCGCCATGGCAGTGGAGCGGTTGCGGGAATTGTCCTCAGTATCCGGTTTCGCGTAAACGCTCGGGCCGCTCATAGAAGTGGCCCAGCACTCGACTGGCGCGCCGTTTCTTCAGCTCGGACATGGAGGCGCTCTCGTGTATCCCAGATCCGATTCAAAGGATTGGAGTGCTGAAGTACGACCAGCCGAATATGCCAGTAAAGTATGGGCGTAAACTTGACAAACCAGTCACGATAGTTCTTCCGTGAATTTTTTTATAAAAAGCTGCTCCGAGTTCATCTATGCCCGGGGACTTCCGAGGCGTTGAATTTTTTAATGGCTTTGCGCAACTCTTTAACCGTTATATCTTGGTCTACCGATTCCGCCACTGCTCTACTCTCGGCATTTGCTTTATATACGCTCGCACTATATGCTCACTAAGTTTGCTCTTTCTTAAACAATTTGTAGAAAAATTCGACAAGTTTGCGCGCGATATCGCCTTGTTGAGTAACAACCGATGCTCCCACCTGGAGGGCTATAATTCTTTGTTTCGTTTTTTGCTTGCTCCCGCTTTTTTCTTTAAAGATTATCTTCATTGACACTCTTCATCCCGTTCTAAAGTTTGCTCTCTGCGGCGAATCATTACGCTTTTAAATTCTTCTTCTGATTTGGCCAATAGTCCTTGGCATTACTTTATACCATCGCCAAACAAGCCTGGTGCCTGACTTTTAGCATGAATAAGCGTATTCAAGGTACTCGTTAAAAGTTTATTTTCTGTTGCGTTCTATTCATCTTTTCTTGTCACACTGAAATAAGCTTAATTTAATTTCTGCTTTCAGCAGCTCACAGTTCACCACGTTCTTCGCCTGTCTTTCTGCTTGCTTTATAATGAGTTCTTTCATGACCTTTGTGACCTTCGGACAGAGGCTCGTTAAGTTTCTACAATCTCTAATATGGGTCATGTTTCGTTGGTTTTGTCCTTCCAAACCTAACTTTGACTTGTGCGCGGTCGCAGAAAGCGACAGGTTCGGTGTGATAAAAGCTGGCTGATCGCGCCAACTCACTGGACGCATAGACACGATCTAAACTTGATTGACACTGTCCTTGCCAGTGTGTGTAGTCAGCACCGGAGCATTCACCACTTCAGCTCCGT